AGGGAGTGGCTTGTATCAATCTCAATCACCGACATGTTTCGCACCGCAAGCACTCGTGACCGCGGACGTTCACCCTTGAGGGGGGGGCCGTGTAGCATAACCCCCCCCCTGGGGGTTTAAATTAGATTAGATCAAGAACTAGATCAGCTACTGTAGAGCGTCGAGCTCTACAGTACCACCGCGCGTGTCCACGTGTACACCACGGGGACAAGGGACATGCGCATACACGTGCACACGTGTACAGCGCGCGAACGAAGCGCGCACGCACCACGGGTGATACGTGTACTGTCAGCCTCGACATAGCTGACAGTATTACAGTGCAGGCCGACCTGCACTACAGTAGCCCACTACAGTACCTCGGTACTGTAGTGTTATGATAGAGTGTTTTGTATATTAAATATGGAGCGGACCGACGGCGGCGGAGAAGGACAAGCACGGGCTTGTCCTCAACCGACCGCCAAGGTGAGTGCACCCAGCTTATTCTAAACGTCGCCTTCGCTCTTCGGGCGCGTTTAGTCGGAGCCGAGCCGGAGTGGACGCGCAGCACGCGAGCGAGCACGGAACCGCCTCCGCCCGTCAGCACTGGTACGTCACCCAGTGCTGCTCCGGGGCGTCGAGGCGTCGATCCGCTCGTGCGTGCGCGCGTCCCTGCTCGCTCCCGCTCTACCACCGCTACCCGGGCCCGAGCCCGGTTCCGTAGCTGGTTGGCCCGCTTCACCCCTTCTCCGATCCGGGGTCTGCAGGTCGAACTGCGCATACACCTCCAGTCGTCTGGGGGTGTTTATGCTACAGTGCCCTTCCTTCTTCGCCGCGCCACATCCCTCTCTCGCGACTATCGTTCCACCCCCTCGTTCGCCCTACCGCTGCGCGACGCGCGGATACTACGAGCCGCCACCACCCGCAACCATACCAGTAACGTCATCGCGCAGCATGGCATGCCAAGACCGTGACGCACCCGTCACCGTCAACGGTTCGTCCGATGAGCACTCGAGCGCCCGCTCTTCAGCACTCGCTCTCTTCGTCGTCCCCGTCAAAGAGATGACGGGCGGGTTGCATCGCGATCAGGAATCACATGCGATTCATTTGCCCCACGCGCTGCCCCCCCTCCCCCACCGCCACCTCCGCTGACGAGTGACCAACCTTCTGCCCAGACACTTCCTCCCCCACCGCCTCGACATTTGCAAGCATCATCAACCGCACTCCCACCACCACCACCACCTCCACCACCACCGCCACCGCCACCTCAACTTGCACCGCCGCCTCCACCGCCGCCTCTTCCGCATTCCCTACCTCCAGCCGATGACGAGACCGAACTGGAATTGATGGCTGCGTTCGGATTACCGGCGGCATTTTCATCGACCAAGGGGAAACAGGTAGCTGGTGCAGATGTGAGTGGAGCCAGGATTGTGAAGAAGAAAAAGTACAGGCAGTACATGAATCGAAGGGGTGGTTTCAATCGACCGTTGGACGGCTAGTGAGAGCAGCGAAATTCGTGTTGTAGAGATTCACTGCGTTGCATGATTATGGGTCTGCTTTGTGTCGATGGCATCTACAGGATCAGTTTGCGTTGCAGGCTTGGTTGGACACAAGCCTCTCCGGAAGGGGTCGCAAGTCGTGTTGGTGCCTGCAAGTGTGTGTGGTGACTTGGGTGTGGATGGGAGGCAGCGAGCAATAGATGGGACTTTGAAACGTTGTTTCGATTCCTTCAAGGCGTGGTGCTGCGCTCCCCGTCATGTGAATGCAGAGGTCATGATGGAAGAAGATAATGAAACGCGAAGATACGGTTGCTGGGGGCCGGGAGAATGGTGTAACTTGTTTGTTGCTTGTATGTAGCGTGCATAGGACAAGGGCATTATGGGAGCTGAAGGGGTTTGATTTTTTTGATGTACCAGTACGAACGGCTGGCAGGGCTGAAAGAGGTGCGCGTGTACGGGCTGCGCAGTGCACGGGCCGTGCTGTGCGCGTTCAACGTCGACGGCGTGCACAGCAGCGACTTGGCGGCTATGCTCGACTTGGAGGGCGTCGCCGTGCGCTCCGGGCACCACTGCGGGCATCCGCTGCATCGCGAACTGGGCGTCGCGTCGTTGGCGAGGGCGAGGTTGCACTTTTATAAGACGAGGGAGGTGGAGGTATTGATTGAGGCGCTCAAGGAGGCGGTGGCGCTGCTGGGCGGGACACTGACGGGGGAGACGTGAAGGCGCGTCTACACGTAAACGGGGAGAAGGGGGAGACGGGGTGCACGACAGACGACGGGTTAGCGTAATGTGCCCGTTCGAGTTCGAAGCTGGCCCAAGAGGCGCGCAGCGACGCGGACACAGGAGCGGGAACCGCCGCGGTTGCGGCAGCAGCTTGAGGCGGTTGATGTTTAGAGCTAGACATTGCTCTGGTGCGCTCGGGTCGCACGCAATGAAGGGGAATTTCTCAATGCGAGAAATAGACAGGGGGGGGGGGGCGAAAGTTGTGGCGACTGCGGCTTGCGGCCGCAAGAAATACCCTGCAGCAGCTCGCCGCCGGGCGTGTGACGGGCGGCTGGCTGACAGTAATTACAGCTGCGCCCTACTCCCAGTGGGAGTCTCCCAGTAGTCTCCCACGATGTCTTCACATAGTGAAGATATTCGTAGTTTTACGATGGTTGATGGTCAGTGGGGCATCAGCTAAACAGGATCCAACATGCTACAGTAGCGCTACAGTAGAACAGGACGAATGAAACATTAAAAAGGACGAAAGATTCAAAAGGAAAACAAAGAAAGAGAAAAAGACATGATGAAAAAGGAGACACGACACGAGGGCGGCAGTGCCGGGGATGGGTGGGAGAGAAATAGACATGGGAGAGGAGAGGTACAGTAGCGGGATAGGACAGCTCGCTTCTACAGTACTACTTATGGGTCGGCGGCGAGGCGGGTACAGCGAGACGCCCGGCTGTCAGTAAGTGCTTACAGACGGGTGCTATTTCACGTGGAGTTTCACCCCTATACACACAGTGTACAGTAAATTGACGCGTACTGTAATATGTATCATAATATGATCCTGTACCACTGGTCCGTTTAATGACACTGGTGTACAGTGAATCCTCGCTAACTGCATATGATATGAAATGTGGACGGCTTTCGTATGCAGTTGGCGAACATATGCACTTGTCGAAAATGTCCATATATAGGGCATCTATGGAACATCAGTAAACGCCTCATTTTTATTCAAAAAATTCAGATATGCGGGTCTGCCGTGCTGACTTGGCCTGCTGGAGTTTTACATCACGCTGCAAGGTGCGCAGAGAGCCTAAGACTAGCGGGTCTGCAAAGTCCGCGCTCTCAAGAAGGTGGCGCACTACAACAATACACCTCAAGCGCTCTTCATATCCGACCCCCTCCAAGTAAGATGCAGTCTCTGCATCACTTTCCTCGCTTTCAACTTCCCCTTCTGTCATCGCCGCCACTGCCACCGACACAAGAGTTGTGTCATCGGCTTCCTCTAAAACATTGTTCTCATCCTCAGGATTTGTAATAAAATAAATATCCATCTGTGTCCGAGGTGCGACGAGTTCGGACATTGAAGCCCATACCTCTGCCACTGTACTATCTTCAACCCTTTGCACCTCTTCAGTTCCCATCACTAAACCCGTGTGATGCCAGCAATTCTTCAACACTGAGGCTGGAATGTCGTCCCACATTCGTCTCATCGCCTTCATAGAAGTCAACTGATCGACCTTATATATATTCTCCACCTTAGCATCCATATAATCCAGCGCTCTCTCGTACTGCCACTTCCGATATCGTACCTTCAGTGCAGCGATAATGCCTGCGTCTAACGGTTGCAGTTTAGACGTAGTGTTCGGCGGCAAAAAACAACCTCAACGTTATCGAGTAGTGGCAGAGTTCCTCTGTACCATGAGCTGAACAATTGTCGAGTAGAAGTAGCACTTTTTGGGATGGACTGGAACGAGAAATGTATGAAGAAAAACGTACAATCCATGCAAAAAATAAAGCGCTCGTCATCCACGCTTTTTTGTTTGCGTGATAGTCAAACCCCAGCTGCTGTCCTTCCTGTTTCTTAAAACACTGAGGCTTCTTTGTTTTTCCAATACACATCAGTGGAAGGCGCTCCGATCCATCCGCGCTACAGCATGCCAGGTAAGTCAAGCGGACCTTCTCGCATTTTCGACCAGGTAACCTTTCACTCGCTATCGTGCGATCTGGTGCCATGCGATAGAAGTGGCCAAACTCGTCCGCATTGAAAACATCACAGTCTTTATAAAACTGAATTGTACTGCGTAGCAAGGGCATTTGACGATCAATTGCAGCCTGGTCTGCATCTCCCGATTCGCCATGAGACTTGATGGATTTAAAGTTCCACCGCTTCTGGAAACGGGTCAACCAGCCTGAGCTAAACATAAGCTTGGTTTGTGTCTGCGGCGGAAGGGACAAGTTCATGAGATGCTGTAACCTCCTTGCCTTCGCAATAATTAAAGTTCCATTCACACAGCGCCGTGCGCGAAATTGAGCATTGATCCAGGAATGCAATGCTGCCTCCAACTCTCTACAATTGCCATAAGTGTAGCGCTTGTGGATTGCTGAAGGAAAGAGGGACGCGAGTTGCATTTTTGATGATGCGAGAGATGGTAGATTGGTTCGGCTTACGGAGGAGGTGGAATTTGTCGTAGGCCCACTGTGCGAGCGCTTTTTGGTGAAATGATTCACCTGCAGAAATTGGAGGCACCCGCTTGTCCATTACTTTCTGTTTCTGGACGACTGTGAGTGAGGTGAGTCGTGTATGGGAGTCCATGTTGTTTTGGTTTGGTGGTTGAGGACGGTTGTGAGGCAACTGGGAGAGCGTGTGCCTATAAACCATGGTGTTGCGATGTTTCACAGTAAAGTGAAGTTGGACTGTAGCCTAATGCCTCTGTCCTACGGCCTAAATTCTGCGTGCCGCCGCTGGTGTTGACTTTGCAGTCCGCCGCCGGTGTTGAATTTGCAGTGCCGACGGCGATGGCGAATCACTGCATATTTGTTGTCATACGTTTTTATTTGTTTCATAGGTTGCCTCTGTATGAGGGTTCGATATGATTAAGGATCACTTTCTTGATGCAGTTATGCGGTATGCAGTCCAGTGTCATATGCAAGCTGGATTCGCGACTCCGCAGCTGGTAGCTGACGAACGCATGCAGATATCGAGAATATGCACAAATCGAGCATGCAGTTAGCGAGGATTCACTGTACAGTATAATATACACCAGTGTCATTAAACGTACAGGACGCGTGCCTCACACAACCTCCGGCTCGGCTCTATCTCATACCGCACCGTAACAGGGGCTGTTGCCATGCGACGCACACAAGAAGAACAACTTGTTTTCAAAACTAGCTCGGTGCTGTAGTTGAACAGAGCTCGGAAAGCCCAAAAGGAGACGTTTACGGTTCTTGCCAACTTTGTCTCTATTTGCTTGGCAGTGAGTCTGAGCTCACTCTCGCCAACACATATTTTGTACGGCCCTGTATGGTATCCGTAATAGCCTATGCTGCGACACACTCATACACGCAGGCAAACAAATTCTGGAGGGGTCTGTCTCTGTTCGTTCGTGCTGGGTGCCATGCTGTGAATGTCCGACATCACCATTCCCGTCCTCTTGAATGCTTTTCTTGTTGATCAGGTTGCTTGCCAAAACTCTTGTCACAAGAAACTTGCCAGTGATTGTGAGCTTCAAAAAAACACCCGTTACCCGTCTAAGCTCAGCAACAACGAGGCCATTTTTTTTGAAAAAGCTCTCCCCTACTTCTCACCTCCCTTCCCTAGCTTATCCGCAATATGATCCTCCACCGCCATGACCAAGTCTTGCTTTTTACCCCTTTCGTTCAATCCATGTGCACGGCAATACACTTGTAAATCGGCCTTGAGAAGCTTCCCTAATGTGCCCTTATTGAACATCGATAGCATCATCAATTCATCCAGTTCACCGCGTGCCGCCTCGCACGCTGCCCGCTTCTCCGCAGTCTTCTTGAGTCTCTTCTCTAGCGTCTCCGCACCTCGCTTTTTCGTCTTCGTTCCAAACTCCTCGGCCAATGCGTCTCCGTCAAACTGCGCCCCTACCACTAGTCGCTTCATCTCTTCCGCGTACACACCTCCCTTCTCCTGCAGCATCGCAACATCTGGATTCAGAAGATCGTCTTGCGGATTATATCGGCTCTCCACACCAGCCGCATTCTCCAAGCCCGCATAGAACCGTTGCAGATCAGGGTTCAGAAACATACCCGGAGAATACGTCGCTATCTTCATCTTCCGCACCATCCGCCGCGTCACAGACACACTCTCAGGTTCGTTCCTCAATTCCGACGCTTCCATGTCCTCTTCTTTCACAACCAATGCCGCCTCCTCCCCTTCCTGCTTTGCCCATGCCCCCTCTTCCCCGTTCACCTCTGTACTGTCCTCCTGCTTCCTCATCTCCTTCCGCCAAGCAGTGTATATATCATCTTTGTACGGTAGCTCGTGCAAGTGAAACCCGCCCGGAACACTATTCTCTACATCTTCGTCTACTACCTCTTCCTGCGGCACAAGCGCTGCAAACCGCATCCCAGGGCCGAACTCCTCTCGCAGCCGAACTGACACAAGTCCCACAACGCCCTTCTTCAACATGCACTTCAGCAAGCATGTGAACGCCTTCGTAGACCCGATGTACTCTGTGTCATCTGGATACACAAACGTCGGAGGGCCCATAGTGTGCTCTCGTCTCAGTACGCTCTTCTTCCTAAACCCATACACCACGAGCCCGATCGGCCCCAACGCTTTCGCTTTTGTTAACTCACTCTTCTTGAACCCGTGCAACAGCGGAGCCGGCTTCGCCACCGTCTCATCCAAATCACTCGATGCCTCGGCCTTGCCTCGCGCATTCTTTAAGCAGTCCGGCGTAAACATGTAACGAATTTCCTCAGGCTTCAGAACCTCCCCAACGCTCTCGCAAGTCGCCGTCGTGATCCTGAATGCAGGCTTGTTTGTCGCAGCCACAAGCTCCACCTTTGGCGGTCTCTTTGCCTTTCTCACTAACGCATACAGTGCTACTCCAATCTTGTAGTCGTCTGCAAGCACTAGAACTGTTTTCCTCATCATCCGTTTCTTCGCTTCCTTTTTCCGCACCCTCGTCAGCAAATCATCGAAAGAGTAAATCGTAGCAATCATCACAGAGCCCCGCGTCTCCCCATCCCCCTCATCCCCCTCATCCTCCGTGTAAACGAGGTCATTGAAAAACGTCGACGAATCGGGCCCCTCGGACATCCCCGTGTCCATTTGACTTGGAGACATCAGCAGCGAAACATCCAGGCTTGCGCCCATATCTTCCAGATCCTTCGCCTGTGTAAGCGACAGCTGCTTGACCGCCCGATTTCCACTCCCCGGGTCATCATCATTCGTGAACACAAACACGCGCTTCCGGTGCATTACCCCCAGACGTGCCGCTGCTATGGCTGTGAAATGGTGCCTCACAGCCCACAGCGCCTTGTCAAACTCAACCGGCTCATCTGCACCAAAGCAAAAATTACGGTCCGTCGCAGGTACCTCCAACTTTTTTAACTCCTCCGTCTCCATTTCAAATAAATCATCCCCGTCCCCAGCCTCCAGTCGCTGTGCAATCCCTTGAAGAAGCTTGATGCCCGTCGCATCCGCAGGCTTCAGCTGCCGCAGCACACGAACCCCCGGCCACCCTTTCCGTGTCTCCGACCCCCGGCATCCAAACGCGACAACCGCAATCGAATCCGAGTTCCGAGCTACAATCTTCGTCTTCATTACATCCGCAATGCATCGCAGCGTAATGGACAGCAGCGAGGAAGCCCCGGGCGTTTCACAGATGTCTGCAGCAATATCGATGGCCGGGTCCTTTCGAATCATGGACACCCGAAAGTCCACAAGAAACACTAGAGAATCGCGCACATTCATCCCACGTCGTCGCCCATATTCCTCCGCGGACGGCATTGTGCTCTTCAGTACAGCACAGACGCAGTGGCGACAACGAGGGGCTCACGAGACAGAACGCGCCTAGAAGAACCGCAAACCGCCGTTCTCACTTCAGCAAATAGTTCAATCTTCGGCTTGTATAACGACACAGCGCCTCGGGTGAAGGGGTAGAGCGCTCACCAGTGAAAGTGTCCGGAGCTTGACGCGGTTTGACTGGAGGCTCGTCTCAATAATGAAGAAGAGTCGGGAACTTCCGGTCTGCTGGCGTTTTTTCGCCGGTTTTTTGATCCGCCATTTCCTGGGTGCGTTGCCAGCAATGTCATCGCGCAGCATGGCATGCCAAGACCGTGACGCATCCGTCACCGTCAACGGTTCGTCCGATGAGCACTCGAGCGCCCGCTCTTCAGCACTCGCTCTCTTCGTCGTCCCCGTCAAAGAGATGACGGGCGGGTTGCATCGCGATCAGGAATCGCGTGCGATTCATTCGCCCCACGCGCTGCCCCCCCCTCCCCCACCGCCGCCTCCGCTGACGAGTGACCAACCTTCTGCCCAGACACTTCCTCCCCCACCGCCTCGACATTTGCAAGCATCATCAACCGCACTCCCACCACCACCACCACCTCCACCGCCACCGCCACCGCCACCTCAACTTGCACCGCCGCCTCCACCGCCGCCTCCTCCGCCTTCCCTACCGCCAGCCGATGACGAGACCGAACTGGAATTGATGGCCGCGTTCGGATTACCGGCGGCATTTTCATCGACCAAGGGGAAACAGGTAGCTGGTGCAGATGTGAGTGGGGCCAGGATTGTGAAGAAGAAAAAGTACAGGCAGTACATGAATCGAAGGGGTGGTTTCAATCGACCGTTGGACGGCTAGTGAGAGCAGTGAATCCGTGCTGTAGAGTATCACTGCGTTGCATGATTATGGGTCTACTTTGTGTCGATAGCATCTACAGGATCAGTTTGCGTTGCAGGCTTGGTTGGACACAAGCCTCTCCGGAAGGGGTCGCAAGTCGTGTTGGTGACTGCAAGTGTGTGTGGTGACTTGGGTGTGGATGGGAGGCAGCGAGCAATAGATGGGACTTTGAAACGTTGTTTCGATTCCTTCAAGGCGTGGTGCTGCGCTCCCCGTCATGTGAATGCAGAGGTCATGATGGAAGAAGATAATGAAACGCGAAGATACGGTTGCTGGGGGCCGGGAGAATGGTGTAACTTGTTTGTTGCTTGTATGTAGCGTGCATAGGACAAGGGCATAACGGGAGTTCAAGGCGTTTGATTTTTTTGACGTGATTTCTGAGCTGCATGTGAAGATCCGACGCACCTCACGCGATCTCCGGCACTCCACCTCCGCAGCACATTCGTTTCCGGATCCACTGCGAGCGGTTCTTTTCTTTCGTTGGACTTGCTTTGGCATTGAGCGGTATCGCGACGACATGGCGGCGTTTGTTTCGGCACTAGCACCGAGCGTGTTTCTTGGAGAAGGCGTGAAACCGGTGGCCGTGTGCCGGTCACGAAGCACACACGTGCGTCGCGCGCGCGGCGTTTCGCAACGGGTGTCGATGGGGTTGGATGCTCTGCTGTTTGACTGTGATGGGGTGCTGGCAGACACGGAGCGAGATGCGCACCGGGTGGCATTTAACCTGGCGTTCAAGGAGCGTGGATTGAAGGATGTGTGGGACGAGGCATTGTACGGGAAGCTGCTGGAAACGGGTGGTGGGAAGGAACGGATGACGGCATACTGGAGCAGCGAGTCGTCATGGCCCGAGGATGTGGCGAAAGACAGCGATGCTCAGAAGGAGATGGTGAAGGAACTGCACGCGCGTAAGACAGCCATCTTCATGGAACTTGTGGACTCTGGTAAGGTGCCACTGCGACCGGGTGTTGCGCGGCTTGTTGGAGAGGCAAGCGAAGCTGGCGTGCCGATGGCTGTGTGTTCGACGAGCAATGAGAAGGCTGTGCAACGAATTGTGGACCAACTAGGGGAGGCTGCGGAGGGAATCCAGGTGTTTGCCGGTGATGTTGTACCGAAGAAGAAGCCGTCGCCGGACATTTATTTACTCGCGGCGATCAAACTAGGGGTAGACCCGCAGAAGGTGTGTGTTATTGAGGACAGCTTCATTGGCCTGGCTGCGGCTCGTGCTGCCGGAATGCCGTGCGTTATCACAAAGAGTACGTACACTGCTGGGGAAGACTTCGGGCAGGCGCAGAAGGTGGTAAACTCACTGGAGGATCCGTTGACAACATTAGCGGACCTCACGCGTATGGTAGAAAGCCCGGGCAGGGGCCAACCTTCTGGTGGTAGAGGGCGTATGCGAAGGTTGCGAAGACGATATGGATCGAGTTACTTGTAACCACGCAACACGAAGAACACTAATAAATGCCGAACGAGTCACAGTAATTTAGAGCGGTAGAGCCAAAGTTGCTCCTCGCAATACTCGAAATACAGGACGTGAGACCTATGTCGTCGCTCCACCTCTGAATACATATGGTTCTGTCCGTTTAGATCGTGTTCTAATCCACGGCTGTTGTATCTGGTTGCTGATCGTTCCAAGGCACGAACAAGGCAAGGAGGGCAAACGATTCTGCTCTCCAAAACTATAAAATAGCGATGCAATCGAAGCTAAAAAGCGAATTGCGACTACGATGGCTCTCACCCCCACAGCAAGGGAAAAGTCCAGCGACTGAGTAAAAACGGAGGCCCACGAGTTTTGAGTACTGCGCGGTTTCAACTGCGTTTCTTTGGAAAGTTAATCTAGCGGGCTTGGAACTATCACCTCAAAGCCCACTGGAGCTCTGACAGAGCAAGACTATAAGTTCTCTACAGAATATCTTTCTCTGTGAGGCTCTAGAGTGAGAAGGTAGCATCTTGCATGCTAATTTGTGCTTCTTGATCATACCAAAGCAGGATTCGACTCCAGCCCATAGCAAGTATGATGAGAGAGTAAGTATGACGAGACTGCAGGCTTCCTTTCTCCAGCAGGAAAGACACAAACGGTTCATTTTTCAGCGCATGCAGGACGGTGCTCTGGGACGTGATGTGCATATTGTATGTTGAGATGAAGCTTAATCTTGCGATGGCAAAGAATAAAGCCTTTGGAGGCGCGGAGCCACGCCATCGTTCTCCAGCTATTTTTGATGGGTACATTACCGTTGGTAGAGCTTTGCGAAATCTATGAGTTGTATTGTGCAGATTTAACGCATTTAACAAGGATTCAAGCGACATTTGGGCAGCTGGAATGTTGTCTCTAGGAGGATAATTAACGCTGTGAACGTTTTCATTGTAACGAATACATCAACGGGTTGTCCTCCGCTGTATGGCACCAAGAGAGGTGTTCCTCATGAGTACATTGTTTCGGAAGCGACCCCAAGAAGTTTTTAATAAGTCGTTTTCAACCAATGTTGGCCGTTGCGCAGTAGAGCGGGCCGCCTTGCAGGGCGATATGGCGCTCATTCTAACGAAGGGGAGTATAAACGGGAACGGCAAGCGTTGAGGTGGCTAGGGGGGCGGAGAAACGAAAGTCGGGCATGGTGTCGGAAAAATAGCGATGCGTCAACACCGGGGCGTCGGACATCTGTGGAGAGGTGTTGGGGAGACTGCATGCTTCAAGTGCAATTTACCGTAGTAGCTGTTGCATCTTGTGGGGGCACGGGCAACTGAGCGACCCTGCGCTGATCTGCGCCGATCGACAGGCATTCCGGGGCACGAAGTTGAGGTATAAGAGGCACGGGCATCATTGGGCCTTGACCAGCTTCTCGGCGGGACTGACGACGTACTTCTTCCTCTGGCGTAACATGTGTGCGAACATGTAGGGCAGCCCCGGGAGGTAATTAACAAGTACGAGGACGCACATATAGTAGTAATCGAAGGCAAAGTTGACGCGGTTCGGCATGTACACGGAAAGCGGGCGCGCGGCCTCGATGTACGGCAGTGCGGCGTACAAGGTAGCGGCCTCACTGCCGGCGCCGAGCGGGTACAAGGGGATGAAGGTGGAGTAGCGCAGCCAGGTGAGGCCGGGCGGGATCTGCGTGGTGGCGGCGGCGACGGAGAAGTAGAGGTAGCGCGGGATCTCGGTGAGGCTCCACGCGAGAACCATGGAGGTGACGGTGGGGGCGAGGCGCACCTCCGGGACCAGGTCCAGCACGCCCCACACGAGCATCAGGCGCGATGAGACCTGCAGAAGCGTCGTGGCGGCGGAGGCGCGCACGAGGCCGGACAGCGCGTGGACGACCTCGAGGATCGCGCCCGTTTGGGACAGGGCCAAGGGCAGACGCACGGCGGGGTACACCGGCTCCGAGGAGATAAGCGCGCGCAGCAGACGCAGCAGGACTATCGACCAGCCGGCGGTCATGACGAGGTTGTAGAGCAGGAGGTAGCGCGCGGCGAGCATGATGGGCAGGTGGCGCGGTGCGGCGGCGGAGTGGTGGGCGGAAGGGGGGCGGAGTGGTGGGCGGAAGGGGGGCGGAGTGGTGGGCGGAAGGGGGGCGGAGTGGTGGGCGGAAAGGGGGCGGAGTGGTGGGCGGAAAGGGGCGGAGGGGGGAGGAG